TGCCTTTCTGCATATTGGCATACTAGGGCACAGAAAGAAACCTGCTCAGTGAAGACCTTACAGAAAATCTGTGATCAAGTTAGTTAATCTTATATGAACAAACTGACTATGGCCACTCTGGGCAAGGATTGAAATATCTAAAGGTAGAATGAGGTTTCAGACATCCCTGCTTTGGAGACACTTTCATTCCACATTTTTGTTTAATTCATTACAAACACATGAAACACTATTAAAATCAAAACTGTTTCTGGTGATGAGCTTTATCTCTACTTCCCTCAAGAGTGAGAGCTGCTGAGTTATGTTTTAAAATGCTCATATAAACATATTTCAGAAAGTTTTGTTTCATCCCCAGCAACATATACTTTGCCACACATATATTTGTGTGGTGTATACAGACTAACTAATTACAATGATTTTCAGGTTTTGGCATTTAGGTATTTTCCCTATTAAAAATATTATTGTCTGAGCAGTTTTCAAATATTTACCTCATGCTCATCAAGGGGTTGGATGTTGCTTACTGCTGGCATGTTGCACAGGGAATTCCTATCAGAGTAGATATGGGGCCTGGAAAAAGTGAGGAGAAGAGGGGGAGCTTCTGTGGGAGATGAAACTTTGCTGCTGTGACTTTCCCATAGCAGAGAGAGTATTGCATCCCAAATTCCTTCAGTTCTTTTGCAGTTTAATGAAGGGGTAAAATCCTTTTAGTATTGCATTAGCCTCCTGCTATCCAGTACCACAGTGTTACCTACCCTGGGCTATTTCATGTGCAAGAATATGCAAAGCAGAAAGGAGGACCTGTCTGCAGTAAGTAATTTTTCTGGCAAACTTGATATACTGAATATGGATCTATGCCCTCATTGCTTCATCATCACCCTGTGATGTTTGGCCCCAAAGCTAAAGTGGCTTTTGCTGCAAATAGCCACGCTGACAGCTCCTTGTAAGTAGGACAAGAGTGGATTAGTGCAGGCATTTTGCAGCAGAAGGCTCTGGAGTCTCACCTGCGCAGCCACACGATTGCATTCGTGTCCTGCTTTAATGCCCTTGAACATCTTTTATCTTCCAAATTCTAAGAAAATATTTTTTTTTTCCCTCTACCTATGCAGGCAGGAAGGAGCAAAACCAAGCATAAATGGTATATGGAGGATGGGAGAAAAATAGAGGTTGGCTACTACATCCCTTTCCCCTCTCAGGAGCTTATAGGGCATCTCTGCTCCCAAGCAGCAAATTACAAAGGTCTCTACCATAACCTAGTGCTCTCAGTATCCATAGCTCCTTAGGGAAGGGACAGCACAGCTTGAAATTGGGGAATAAAGCAGCCAGATGGCCTCTGCAAGGGTTTGTGCATATTCTGGGAAGTGCAGAGTCTGGAGCTTGCTGCTCTCACTTGCTGTGCTACTCAGCAGGACCCTTTTGCTCTGAGAGGACCCGCTGCAAACGCTGCAACACTCTTGTGGAGCATCTCTGGTACACCTTAGACGCTCAACCCCACTTTACATATTTGCATTTCTGCAAATTTAATGTAGCTTTTTTTTTTTAAATTGCTTCACCTGCAATTTTTGTAATATGTCACTGGAAATCTAGTTACTGCAAATTTTAAAAAACAGTGATAAAGAAAAAAAATTGATTTCATGTTTATTCTACTTCATCTAAACATGCTTGCACAGAAGTACTGGCCACTCATAATACTTGTGGGGTTAGTATTCAGAATAATTTTTCCACAGATTTATTCCTGATGTTGCTTGTCTCAAGTCCTGAGCAGAAAAAAGGGTAGGCTGCTTTTTTTTTCAGCCATTTTCATTTTTCTCCATTTCTTTTGATTAGTAACTCTACACTATATTGCTTAGGCACAGGAGTTTAAATTGTAATGTATAATTAAGGTGGGCAACCTGGCATCCAGTTTCACACTCTTTTCCTGTCATACTCTTATAGTCATCATCAGTCTTCCAGTTAATAAACTATTTGGACTGCCCTTCAGCTCTCCTCTTTTGAGAGAACCCTATTGAAGCGAACTGTCACAAATCCTGCAAAGCTTGGACTCCTTGCTTGGGTACCTCCAGTGCTGAGAGAGGCCTGTCTATCTCACAAGAACAGGAACATAGGTTTTGATGCACTGTCTGGGATCAGTAGTTATGATGGGTCACAAGAAGAGTCACAGCTCATCAGACAGCATAGAGAAGAATCTTTCTTATCGGGACTCACACCTTAAACTCTTCTACCTGTCTGATTCACCTAGGCTGAATAGGTGGCTATGCACTGGTGTGATGTGCATTTCTTTGCAGGCTGTAAGTCAAGGTGTGTGAAGTTACTGCTTTTAGAAGAGTCTGAAATACTTCAGCTTGAAGGTAATAAACATAACAACCTCCACAGCCAGGCCCATGGAGATGGGAAAATTCCTAAGCTGCTGCACTAAGAAAAAGGAGCATAAAATACCACTAACAGTCATTACTGGGGCATTCAGGAACAGCTTGTGGTGTGGTAAGACTATCAAATGCATTGGCCATTAGTAGACATAAGCACATAACTGAAAGACAGCTAAATTATTTTCGAATTTAGCTTATTCCCACCTCATTAATACTGGTTTTATATTTCCTAGATCGGGTTCATGTCACTTTACCATGGTGCTTGAAATCCTGTACAGGTACATATAAGAGGAAAAAGTACAGCATATTAAAATAATCGTATTGACCTTGTAGCTGGATAGTATAAAAGACTGCCCTTTACCTCTCCTCGCGGCCAAGGGGAGATGTTCCACCAGCATTTACTTCAGCTGCTTTCATGCCTTCACCAATCCTGAAACCAGCCTAGGAGGGAGCTATACTACCAGCATAGCTCAGCGGTTGCTAATGTTGGCTTGATGACAGTGTCTCATATGCTAGTCTATCTTCTCAACACCTCAGATTCCAGTCATTTTGAGAGTATAACAAAATGTTACCAGAAAGAACTCTTCAGAAACTTTAATGAATGTGTTGAGCTTGAAGCCACTCCTAAAAATTAATAAACATCTTGGGGTGCTCATTTTCTTTCTAATTGGATCTTGCTTCTGTTTTAGACTCCTAATAGATAAAACACAGATTGATACTGAAGCAAAGAAAACACTTTTCTAAAGCTGGCTGCTAAACTGAGTAACTTAAATTCCAGTCTGGTCAGAAGTTTGACATGCAGTTGTGTTTTGTGGTAGCATTACTTCTTCACATGCAACTACAAGTTTTTGCCAGATTAATAGATGATAGTTCTGTAGTCAGGACAACAGAAACCAGAAGGAAAAGAGGAGAAAGGTTAAAGGCTGAAGGCGCAAGCTAAAACAAACAACAAAAAAATAGCGATCTCCTCTCTGTTTTCCTGCAGGTGTATTTTTCTCTCTGAAACAGACAGAAGCATTTTAAAGAGATGTTTATTTAGGCTGTGTAGCAGTTCAAAGGTTTGATTCTTTTGGGTGATGTAAAAAACCCCAGCCAATAACCTGTAAAACCCAGGCACATAAAAACCTACTTTCACACAGTGCTTCCTGAACTATATCTGACATCCAAGCAGCCGGTTTGAGTTCACAGGCTCTTACCTTAGCTGGGGGGGGGGGGGGGGGGGGGGGGAACTACAGTTTCCCCTGTGCTTTGTGCTGTGCCGCATAGCTGAAAGGAGGGTACACAGGGCTTTCTGACCTTACATGACTTGCTAAGTGGACAATGGGGTCCAGGAGGTGACACAATCTTGGCACACCTGTTATCCAAATCCTGGTTTAATGAGCACTTTTAGAAACTTCTATGGAAATATTTTTGTTTATTTAATTTGAAAATCTGTGTAATGGGTAGTTCTGTCTCTTCCAAAAATGACAGAGGCCTAAACCAGCCAAACACAGAGGCTTTCTAATAGCTGGGGGAGTAGCAGTGGAAGTGCTTAGCAGCAGGAGCTGGGTAACCTACATTCCAACAAGAGGAAGTTTTAGATTAAAGGAGTTCTGATAAACAGCGTTTAACTGTGCTTCTCCAACCAACTATAAATGCAGTTGGCACCAACGGTGACATCAATTATTTAGCGTATTTCTTTTTCCTGCATATTCCTCCGTTTTCCATTCACTGCCTAGGTTTCCAGATACGCATTTTTAAGTTGTATAATAAGTAAGGGTAGGGTGCAGAAGCAGTAGGTTTCTTGTAACTTAAAGCAGAATCTTATCTGTTGCATACCCTGGCTTTCTGTAACAAACGTGTAATGCTTTGTAGTCTAGCTTTTCAGAGGAATGCTGTTGTCATCTTTCCTCTCTTTAAAAGCCCCTCTGCTCCCGACACTTTAATTGCACTGTTGCCTAAATGAGGCACTGCACAGTGTTAATGTGTGAGTCTGAGCGACAGTGCACTCCTCTCTTCAAGAGCTTTTGCCCTTGATCGTGAATTTAGCAGAGTAGGTACTTTAAAAATAACTGGAGATTCAAGCAGAATCGCTACACTTACCGTCTTGCATAAGGTTTGTTGACACAGGGATACTTCAACAGTAACTCATATTCTTTCCCTGGGAATAATAACCATTGCAATTAGTGAACTAGTTATTAAGTGTTGGGCTGGGGAGGACAGCAGCGGCATTTCTGTGTTTCTGGAAGCAGAGTGTTCAGTGTCCACATGGTCTAAAGTAGAAAAAAAAAAAGAAGAGGGGTAAAAAAAAAAGGAAAAAAAAAAAGGAAAAAAAAAAAAGAAAAAGGAAAAGGCTTGAATTCCTGCCTGCAGACTCCCTTCTTGCAAGCTGTCCCTCCAGCTTCTCCCAGACGAGGCGGCAGGATGTTTTTATTCCCTCCGGGGCTATTCTCCATCGCCTTCTCCCCGGAGCCGGGCACAGCCGGCAGCCCAGAGAAAGCGGAGTTTGGGGGCGAGGGCTGGCGGAGCTGATGTCAGCGCAGGGCGGCGGGAACGATTGGGTTGCGGGAGACTTTGCAGCAGCAAATCCGCCCCCCCCCCCCCCCCACTTACGCCCCCCCCGCACCCTTGGCTTCAAAGCGACCGGCGCCCAGCAACTCGCAGAGGTGCAAAAAGTGGGCGCGGGGCCGGCATAGTCGCCGCTACCGCCCCCGGGCATCGCCCCGGCCGGGCCCGGCACGTCGGGGCGGAGGCGCGACCCCTCGGCGCGGCGCTGGGCAGCCCGCCCTGCCAGGCGCGTTATAAAAGCCGCCTCCAGGAAAGGGAGAAACTCCACGGGAGGAAAACATCGCGGTGCGGTGCTGTTTAGCTGAAGTGCAGGCATGACATCCGTCCTGGGCAGCAGCAGGGCGTCGGGAGCGCCGAGCGGACAGCTGAAATGCAAGTCCAAGAGGAGGCGGAGAAGGAGATCAAAGAGGAAAGGTAAGCTAGATAGATTTTTATTTTTTTTCCTCTTTTTTTCCCTCTCTCCTCTCTCTGTCTCTCACACAACATCGGCTGCTCCTGTGGTTATTGTCTGTGCTCGGCACACGCCGGCCCCAGCCCTTCTGCCACCCCGACGGCCCGTGAGGGGCGGGCGGTGCCTCGTCCGCTGTTCCGATCCGCCACCCGCGGGGTCCGGCTTGAGGACGAGAGGGGTCTCCGCGCTGCCCCGCGGACGGACAATGTTTGCTCTCCTCCTCTCTTTGTTTAGGGGTGAGGTTGAACCTCGCAGGGGTGCCAGCGGGTGGCGGCTCGGCGGACCCCGTCCAAGGTAACGCGGTGCGGAGGAGCTGCCCTGTCCCGGGGTCTCCGCCGGCGCTGGCACGTCCGTCGCCTGGCTCCAGCACCCCCAACACCATACTACCCTACCTGGCGCCCGATGTCCGGCGCAGGAAGTGCCCCGGCAGCGCAGATCGCGGCGTGAAGCCTCCGGGGCAGCGCGCAGCTCCCGCGCGGCGGGTTGCGTCCTCCAAACTACCGCTTTATCCTTCTAGAGAAGGTCCGCCGAGTTTTGCTGTTTTGGTGGTGTTCCCCTTCCCTAAGCAAATCTGTTAGGAAGGCGCTCATTGCCATGGGCATGAAAAGTGAAGCTACAGGATGTCATTGCGAACGGGGAGTATGCCCTACATAAAAGCTCTTCGCCAGGCTGCGAACACTTTAAAGTAAAAGGCACCGGTATGAGACGCCAGAGATGCCCAGCTGCAACGCATTTGATTGCAGAGGTGCTAACTCCAGATGTTTCGCTGAGCAGTAAATACCATGTAACCTGTAATTGTCATCATTATGTGGGACTAACACGAGTTTTAGTCAGCTAGCTCATCAACTCAAGCCGATGCTCATGATACACTGTTTTTTTCTCCTATTCTAGAAAACATCATTTGTAGGCGCCATTACTTAAGTGTCTTTTTATTATTTTGTTAAAGGCAGTTAAGCACGGTATTGGATAACTTTTCAGAAAGGTGTCAGAGCAGGTTTTATATGGTAACTGGTACAAACTGCTCAAATGCTAAATGCTTGATTGTATCATTTGCCTGTCACTATTTTAACTTTCACCCCTGAACTCTGTATTCAGAATCATAGTTACAAATAGTGGCCTGCGCACAAGCGGAAACTACAGGCACCCAGATCAGGACATGGAGTAGGTGTGTAACCTTGACTTGTTCCTCTGGATTTTTGGGTTGCTGTAACACCTGGTGACAAAGGCTGTCTTTTACTCTCCATTATAAAATCAGTTTTAAAATACTAAGCATCCTTTAAATATGCTTGTTACTTAAGTTGTGGTCTGCAGACTTCTTTGTGCTGTATTTGTTTAAGCAAAACTACTTTTCTAGGGAACTACAAACTTAGCCTAGCCTTAGCTACCCTGTACTTGGCCAAGAGAAAAGAGTAATCCATTAATATATGCAATGAAGAAACACAAAAACTTGCTAAACAGTAACTTGCTAAATAACAGCTATTTGCAGAATAGACATCTGGAGGTTGATGACATTCTAGAAAGTGCTTGATATCATTATCAATAAGAACATGCACTTGAAGAGCTATTTTTCTTTATTCCTCCAAATGTGCTGTTGTAACCACTTCCTAAATAATGTGGTCGGTTAGTATACCAATTATAGGGAGCAATGCTTGTGTTCATATGATTTTGATTTTGTTTTCTATGTAATTGTAGTATAAATTCATAAAAGTACACATTCCTTTAATTTTATACTGGCAAAAAAAAATGCCTTTAATTTAAGGCACACCCAGTATAAAACCTGTTGGATTTTATTATTACACTAGTTTACTTACTGATCGTATATTTCTGTGTCTTTTTTGACTGTATCTAATGCAAAGATGTCTAACAAACTGACTGTCCTAGAAACTAGTCAAGAAAATGTATTTTAAGCTCATAAATTACTACATTCTTATAAGAATTAATATGGGCTCCACTGTTTTGGAGGTTTGATCTATTTAAAAGACTCTGAAAATCTTTGTAGAGTGTCACCACTCTAAATGGTTAAAGGCGAGGGTCACTTGACTGTAACTATTATCCACACATATTTTGTTTCTTGCAAGAATACTTTTAGTATGTGCTTTAAAATATGTAACTACGCACGTACGTTTACACATACACATGCAGATACCTGTGGACACTTGTAGCCAAAGAAATTCACTCTAGTCTTAAATTTAAATTGAATACTAATCAGTAAGGAAATGAAATGACCTGTCACATCCCTACTTCTTAAGGAGATGGACTCAACAAATTCTTTATACCACTTAATATATTTTATTACACATGTTACATATGTACTGTGCTTAAAACCAGGCTGAGACATCACCAGATAGAGTATCTAAGGATGTATAGAAGTAGAAGCAAATGTTACTCTCTATTTAATAGCACTGGGTTTTCTCTTCGGATGTACTTTCCATGTTTTCAGTCATATTTTTGTCCTAGTTAGTGGGAATTATAAATTGGTGTATCTGGGTATAGCACTTTGCTGCACTTCTTTTATACCTGGATGATCTGGTTTAGGAGTTTGCTGGAAGCAGAAAGCAAGTTCAAGCAAGGAAACAAACAACATTCTCTGAATAGCTGAATTTCCCTGTGCATTAAGGTTAAAAAAACATGTGCTGCATGAGACTGAGGGGGAGAGAGAGGATTTCCATATATGCAAATTGAGCACTGAAAGTCTAGGATACTGAGTGTAATTCCAGTGTACAATAGCATTATCCAATAATTAATTTGAATGCATCTTATTTTTATGCTTATGAAATCCAGCAACCCTTTAAGTATAAATATCCTCCCTTGAAGACTTAAGGTTAAATGTCCATGCAACGAATATCGCATTTCAGGCATGTATTTGCACAGTGTTTTCATTCAATTTTGCACTACGTGCAGAAAGTGTGTTAAACAGCTAAAATGTGGATATTCATATCCATCTGTTAATGTTAGTATAAGTAGGAATATTTTCATTGTAATTTAGAAATTAAGTATATTAAGTCCTGGTGGGAAGTTAATATCTTAATTTCTCGGTGACCTAATGAAAAATAAATAGGGATGCTTGCCAGATTATCTGCAGACTAATTTCATGTAGAAGCAGTAATAGGTGTTTTATATTTCTCTTTTTGTTGTTCTGTTGGGTTTGTTTTGGTTTTATCTGTGTGCATAAAATGACTAGAAGTTAAAAACTACACCTACTGATTTAGAGAAAGTCATTTGAAATGCTTAGGGCTTTATAGGAAGTTACCGTATTTGTGGGTTCTTGTGTTTTCTCCAGGGCTTTGGAATATGGCAGAGCACTGGCAGAATTCAGCACAGCGGCCTCAGCATGGTTTGTGTGTATTTCATAGTCTGTGGTATACATTTTAAAAAGAAGGCTTGTTTTCTGAGATAAATGATTACAAGTAGGCCAAACAAAAGCAGAGTTGCCATTTACTGATAGTACTAAAAAGGTGAAATGTTAGCAGCCTCTGGCAACTTCTTAGAAATCAACATATAGAAAGTAAATATGAAATGGGTGATTGGAGATATATCCCTTCTGAGTCATTTTCCAGTACAAAACAACAAATAAGACACCTTATTTGTAGTACTGCTTTATAGAGATAGCAATTAAAGTTAATTACTGGAAACAGGAGGGAATCTGGTATCCCTGATGTGGTAGAAAGCCATATTGGAGGTTGCTGCTGATACAATGGGACATGAAATCCAAGTTGACGGAATAAACTAAATAAGGGCAGCAAGCGGGTGAGAGAGGCAAAATGATTGTGAAATGAAATTCCATGAAAAATTAATGAAACAGAAAGATTGTGCTGGGGATGGAGGGAGGAAACCAGCTTGGTTCTTCATCATCCTGCAATGCCAAAGTAATAAATGAGCGTGTTTCATCTTGGCGAGGTTCAGGGACACAACTCCTTCCCCACAACAGGATTGCATCGTGCTTCAATACTTGTTCCGCTTATCTCGTCCCTTGACAGCTTGAGAGGAAGGTACTGGATTTGGTGATAAAATTAAATTGATTAAACCTTTATCCATCATTTAATTTGGTGCCTTTCTTTTTTCTTTCCTTTTTTATTATTACCTCCAATTTCTAGTGATCCATGTAATGACAGCAATTTAAGATAGCATCAAGGACATTAGCTACGATGACTGAACTTAAATTTAGAATAAAAATATGGGATTCATGAGTCCATATCTAAATAGCAGACGATTAGTTTATAGCAGAATTGTATCTTCCTAGCAACAGCACGTACGTGTGAGGACAATAAAATGGCGCAATTTGCTTTGAAAGGGAACAAAATATTTAAACTTTATCGAGAAGTATTAATTATGTAAGTAGAAGAAGCACTTATATAAATATTGACCATATCCTACATGAGCAGTGACATATATAGCCATTTTTAACTTTTTGAGCACAGAAGTCAGATGCTTGCTTTCTTCAGTGGCAATGTGGAGGCATATAAAGCTAGTAAAGTACCATACTGTTGGAAGTTGTTTCCTATTACTTAAGAGTTTGTACTTCTCCTTGGTGATTTGGGTAGGGAAAATGTCCCATAAGGTGAGAGCTTTGCTTAGAATTTCTGGTTTAAGTAGTATTACTGGAGTTTTTAAAAAGCTTAATGGCAGCCCTTTCTGAAGTGATCCTTATAAATGGAAAACACTGCACTGAAAATTAAAGGTCAGGTGAAATTGCCGTGTGAAATACCCAAGTTACTAAAGGTCTATGCAGACTGTTTTCTTAAGTTCCTTTAATACCCTTTAGGTTAGCAAGGTGCATTAAAAAAGCAGACATTAGAATATCTGTTTGATCTGTTAATTGTACTACTTTTGAATTACTGCTGCCTAATATTGTATAGGTTTTGCAAGTAGTAATGAACCTGAATTGATCCCTGTGCTTAGAGCTAACTATCTCTACAACCTTTCAGGCATTTTACCATTAGTTATCCAGACAAAAAACCGTGAT